AGGCGAGGTCCCGAAGGTGTCCGCTTAATAGAGGTTTGACTGTAAACTGAAATCATATACAATACAAAGAGGCTGAGACATTTTGTGTTAAAAACCATGCCTGTCTACTCTTGTGTGGAAATTCTGCAACGCTACTATCCCAACATTTCCATTATTTGAGATGGACGAATAGATCTGCGTGTTCACTGTTGACCACTGTTCTGTTACATTTAAAGATCATACTGACTTTTTACACGTATGTGTGACTGGACAGTTGCTATTAAAGTAGAGTCAGTAGATGTGCTTGTTAAAGTACATTTAGTATATTTGAAATTATGGCCACTGTATAACAACTTTATCATGTTTACATATTTAACCATAATATTTAACATTTTAACCAAAAGCATGCACTTCTCGTGAGCTCCCAAATTAATTAAATCGTTTCAAGCTCCGTAGAAGTTCCGCTAATCGCTATTCAAAAAGCAGAAAATGTGTGGTCAAGCAGATATTTTTAGGGTGGTGCTGAGAAGGTCTAGATACCACTAGATGGGCCTGTGCACACCCCACGGTAGATACACCCGTGAAAATTCCTTGAAAAATGTCACAGGTAGTGCTTCCACTTTTGGTAAATCTTTGGAATCAAACACATTTGACAAGATAGATATTAGATAGATAGATAATTTTTATTTTGCACAATTTGTGTGTTACCTGGAATGATTATTTTTTTATATAGTTTATTTACAAAAAAAATAAGTGCTGGCCTCCTGTTATAACCATGAAGGCTAATCAAGACAGGTGGTCATGAAAGTGCTTATGAAACTAGATTTTTACCTCATTTTTTATTGTTTTGCTAAAAAGTACTGCTGGAGTGATGAAGAATGACGTTTACAGTTTCTTCATATCTCATTCTCAAGTTATCGCACTTTCTATAACTTGAGAGTTGAGATAAAGGCAATAACAAGAAAGTCCGATACCTTGGTGAGTATTTAATAAATTCAATGAAACTTGGTAGACTTAGTGGGTGCACCCATATGAATATTTCTGGCAGGTCAGTGGTTGTCATGGCAACACACTAGTTCCCAGTCTCTTCTCTTCCTTTTCACAAATTTCCTCCTGTAGACCTCTTGCAGAGGATCTTTGCATGTTATAATGGTTTAAACTGTCACAATACCTACATGTATTACAGTAATAAGCGAAATTACAGAAATTGCTATTTATTTCATTGGAAATGGATCAAATGAAATTGGAAGAGAAGGGACTGGAGACGAGTGTGTTGCCATAACAACCATATAAACAAGCCAAATTGTTCACTTCCATGCACAGTTGCACCCACTAAGTGTGCCAAGTTTCATTGAATTTTATTAAATGATCATCAAGATATCATATTTTCTTGTTATTGCCACTATTTTGACTCAAACGAGTGACGTCACAACTCAAAATATAGAAAGTGCGATAACTTGGGAATGAGATGAGATACAAATAAACTGTAAACGTCATTCTTCATCATTTGAGCAGTACCTTTAAAAAAAAAATGAGGCAAAAATTTCGTTTCATAAGCACTTTAATAATATATTACAATACTATTATTTAAGGAGTGTCACAATTGTGATGTACAATTGTGTATGCTACTGTAGTTTTCATATAAACGCCCCATATAAAATCCACTTAAAATGCTGGATTTAAACCATGCAGAGGTGTAACTTAACACTTGCCCACTTGCAAGGGGCAAGTGAATATCATGACGGGCAAGTAAACGTTTTATCTTGTTTCAGGGGCGTCGGAGCGGCTCTAAAAGTGGCGGGGCACACTTAGAGCCCGCCCAAGGCGGATGACATTCAAGGGGGGTCCGAGGGCATGCCCCCGAAAAAGAATTAAAAACTAGAGTCTCTGAAATGCCATTTCCCACACTTTAGAAGATTTACAGAGTTGTAAATGTAACAAAATGTCATAAAATATCTCAAATTGTTTTGTCTACATGCGTAACTAAAATTATCTTGATTAACTTTCTGGTTTATTATTGACCAAATTGTTAAAAAGGGGGGGGGGGGGCAACGACATTTAGGCCACCCAATTGGGTGGCCTAAATTGCCCAATTGGGCAAGTTGCCTTGCCACAAAAAGCTACGCATCTTTAATTTAAGTTTATGTTTTCATTTTTATAGTGCATGTACTTCATTAAAATTTTGTAAATGTTTTTTTGTGGGCCAAACTTCTAGATTTGAGGCAGTATAACACATAGCCATATAGAACGGATCAACATGTTGTTCCCTAAATTTAACCTCCCATGTAGGTACCCCAGTGACCATTGTCTGATGGCAAGTGAATTTTATTCAGGGCAATGTCCAACTTGTCCTGAGGGCAAGTGGTCAAAAAGTAAAGTTACACAACTGCCATGTAAACAAAGATGGTGGTCCATGATTCAAGCAGAGAACTCAGTGTTTCTAGATCAATGTTTCATGGTTATAAATATATGGATATTCTACAATTATAGGCGAATGATTGTTGATTGATTGGAAGATTTTAAAGATGCAGTACAGTCCAATCTGCGCATGTGCACAAAGGAGCCCTCTTTTTATTATACAAACAGTTTATTTAGGTTTTTATTTCATTTTATGGTCTTGCAAAGCTTAATTGTTGTGTCTTGATCATTTATTATACTCTAGAATCATGAAAATATAAAGAGGTGTCGAATAAAATTCAATATTTTGGATACCGAAATGTAAACAAAGCCTTTGTCTACATACAGACTGTACTGCATCTTTAATGCAAACAAAAAGGACTAATGGTTCAGCTCTGCTGTAGGAAGTGTATACAATTTTCGGAAGTTCTTGGTAGACGCCAAGCTAATGTCGGGGAACAATCATATGTCCATATGCGTATTTTTTAAGCCCACTAAATTACTTGCACTGAACATCCCCACACTATGTAGTACACCCAACTTGAAACTCTTTATTTCTTCATCTTTTGATTCCATTACCTGTTACCCCCTCTTTTATGCCACAGTAATCAGTATTATGTATTGTTTTGGTGGTTATTCTGAGAGGGGGGGGTACGTACTCCAAAAATATGGGGAAACTGTTATTATGAGGTTTTCTAGGCAAATATATTTATAGTAAGGATAGGATTTTGATAAGCATTTGAAGTTTGAAGACACCAGGAATAAAGGCCTGATACGGTCAACAATGGCAAACAATAACACCATTTTACTCCACGTGACAAATACACAAGTGTAGCAATTACTACATTTTCATAGACTTCATAGTACGTAGTGTCGGTAGTGAGCAAAAGTTGAAGTAAAACAGTGTTATTAAAACGCAGTTGTTATTCAGGTAACATACAATAAGATCTTTCATTTATAAATACCTGTTCTTTCACTGACGATCTCAAAGTTTCAATTATAACCGAGCTATCTTCTTGCCCACTCATACTCCAACGTGTAAAATGTAATAGAGTTCTACCAAAATTAATCCAGTTACTTTTCAAAAAGTTGTTTTGAAACGGCTTTATACAAATTAAAGAAACGTGATGTGCTCTGAGTGATGTTATTTTCCTGAATAAACAAGGTAGCATTCAGACCTCAGACAATCACGTCTTTAATTTTCAATCAAGAGAGATTTTTGTTTGGGAAATTTTTCTTGCATCAGCCAAATGGTAGCGCGGGCTCAACAATTTGCAAGAAAAATTCCGTGTTAAATTGTTAGAGAAATACTGTAAAAATACATTAATTGTAATGTCTTGTTAGAAATACTAAATTACATGTTTTCAACTGGAAAAAATGCGAGTAATTTTACTAATTCGTTTGACTGAAAACTAGAAAAAATCATACAATACTTCATGCTGCGTTTCATGTATACTGCTGTGTGGTTCATGGAAAAATTCGCCAAGAGACGTAATTCCAGCGTGTTGCTAAGCAGTGAAAAGTGACAGAAAGATATTTTTAAAATGCACTTGGAATAAAACTCAAAACAAGAATATTTCCATGGTGCATGCTATCAAACGAACTTCAACGATATGTACTATTTCACAAAAATACTTCCAAAGAAAAATGGGGGGGGGGTGATCTTCCAATAGACCGTATACACTAATTAAGATTTAAGGTATATAAAGATTAAATTCAAACTTTATAATATTAATATACAGTAATACTATATATATATACAACCATATACAAGAGTTGATTTTGAAGTCAACGGAAAGGTAATTCCAAGTCTCAGTACCTCTGTAGACTCTGTGAGGCTTAGGTAGTGCGAAATTGGTAGTGTTGGTGGAAACGTAAATAATTTGTTAGTGTCACGTTTGAGTTTTGCGGCACCGGTGCCGATTTTTGCCACGTTTACACGCCAAAAGGCAGAGGTGCCGTGCCTAAAATTTTGGGCACGGGTGCCCATTTTTAGGTGTGATTGATGCCTCCTTCTCGTCTGTGTAGTAAGACCAACCTTGTTAAAAATGTCTACTGAATGTGTTTCATAATTTTCACGGGTTTATATTGCCATATTGCATTTTTTATCCGTACACCCCCTGTTGAGGACCTTGGAAATCCAGGGCATGCCTCTTGTATTTAACCCTGGAATTCCAGTGGGTGGGGGTCAAACCAACCTGGAATTCCAGTGGGTGGGGGTCAAACCAACCTGGAATTCCAGTGGGTGGGGGTCGAAATAACCCTGGAATTCCAGGGGGTGGGGGTCAAAATAATAAGATTTACATGGAAATTCCGGGAAAGGGGATAAAATAATGATACCGGAACTGGAAATTCCAGGGGAG